TAATGTTCGTTTATTTTTGAGAGAGAGTGTGCAAACGAGGGAGGGGCAGAGAGAGAAGGAGATAGAAAGAAGACTTGAAGCAGGCTCTGGGCTGACAACAGTGAGCCCAGTGCAGGGCTGTAACTCAAACCATGAGATCACGACCTGAGCTGAAGTTGGTGCTCAACTGACTGAACCACCCAGGCACTCCGTCTATAGCTGGTTTTTATCTACAGCTGCAAAGTTGAGTAGTTGAAATAGTGACCACATGAAGCACAAACCTAAAGTATCTACTGTCTGCCCCTCCAAAAAATATTTTCTGACTCAGGATTTAGTGTGATGGCTTGTTCCTTTTTTATAGCTGCATAGTGGTCCATTTGGGTGGCTGTACTAGAGGTGATTCAGCCATTCCCCTGTGCAGACATTTGGGTTGTTACAAAAGACCACTTTAAATTGAAAGTAAAGTTTTTCTCCAAGACCCTCTAAAGACATCATAAAATTTTTCCCCATCTTTCTTGCCCATCTTTAGGTGTCTTGAGTGTAATAACAGACACCTGTGCATAGAGTTGGTGACGCTTTCTGCCCACTTAGCAACAAGCATCCAGCCCCTTTTTTTGTCTGTTGAGGCTTGTGCCTGAATGATTTAACTCTCGTTTAACTCGCCTCTGTATATAACCCAAGTAATCACAGTGCAATCCACAGAGGACAGGGCTCCATGTCCCAGTTCTTTTTCAGGTATGAAAGATGTTTCAGTTTCTTATTGAGAGAACATGGGTAAACATTTCCCCTTTGATTTTAGCCGAGCTCCTCGCTAAAAAACAGCCATTAAAAACCAGTGAGGTGTACTCTGATGATGAGGAAGAGGAAGAGGATGACAAGTCCAGTGAAAAGTCAGACCGCTCATCCAGAACATCGTCATCTGATGAAGAAGAGGAGTAAGCTGTGTATAATTTGGTCTAGTAGTCAGGATTAGGTGGGTTCTTTGGGAAGAAGCTTAGTGTAGTTTCCAAAATCGTCTTGTTTGGATGGTGAACTTTGATTTGGTTTAGCACCTTCAATTGCAGAGCTGAGTTCCCCAAAAAATATGCTCCTGCCTTTGGCTCTTAGCTAACTGCACCCCTGGACATTTTGTCTGGGCCTGGCAGGTAGGAACTGACTTCATGTCATCCTCAGACCGTCTTGGAGCTTCCATTTGTTTTCTTACTCTGATAGGTTATCTGGGATGACCACGTCATTGAAGACAGTTCACAGTACCATTAGGAACAGGATTCTATTACCACTCTTTCCTGTTGCTTCGGTGGTTAATCACATGTACTTTGGTCAAGTCAAGTCTTAAGAAACGGTAGTATTTATGTATCTTGATCTGTTTTTATGAGGAACACTTTTCTCAGTGTCCTTTATTCCTCACAGGAAAGAAGAGATCCCTCCCAAATCACAACCCGTCTCCTTACCCGAGGAATTGAATCGGGTTCGATTATCACGGCATAAGCTGGAACGTTGGTGTCACATGCCCTTCTTTGCTAAAACTGTCACAGGATGTTTTGTACGGATTGGCATTGGAAACCACAACAGCAAACCAGTTTACCGGGTTGGTGTTTCTTTCCTGGACAATTGTCCGTGTTTTAAATATAATGATTCTCAACTGGAATAGGAGCTGCTGAATGACACAGATCTGTCACTTTTCTGCCACCATTTAATGGGAAAATAGACTCTAATTGAGACGCCCATAGAATAATGACAGTCTGAGGTGACCAGAGATCCTGCATGAACTATAGACGGTCTTTGGAGCCCAAAGGTGGGGGGGTTTGGATTTAGAATAATTTTATTTCCCTTCCATATAAAAGCAAGAAGGGAAACAGCAAGAAGGGAGTATTCATTGGTTGTTACATAATCTGGAAGCTTTGTTCATTTGAAAAATAAATAAATGAAAAATTTCCATGTTACATACCAAGAGACTTCTGAAACAGAATTATATTGAGGTTTAAAAACAAAAACACAAAAAAACCACCCTCTGACCTAATAGAGGTGGTTTTGTGAGTTCTGGCACTGCTTCTGTGATCTGGATGGCTGGAACATAGCTGTTTGATGTTTTTTCTTTTTGTTTTTGTTTGTTTTATCCTGGGTTGTATGGTTTTAATATGTGTTTACCTCCTTCTGTGAGGACCAGCAGCCATGCCACATCCCGGAAAGCTTGACAAACAGAAACTGACCTCCATGGTCTTCATGTTTGATTGATAACACTGACCTCTGAAATCCCAAGTGTATCCCCTTAGTAAGGGAGGACTGGGTCAGAGGGGAAGCTCCTAATGGGCCCTGCCAGGCTAACCACCTCCTCTCCTGGCGCTCACTCACTCTGTGCGTGGGGCGCCTGGTGCTTGGCCATCTGGGTTGTAAACCTGAGGATGGTGCCCAGAACGCCTGGCAGCTGTGGGCTCCTCTTAGTGCAGGGTCACTCTTTGTAGTTAGGTCAGGAGAGCCAGAGAGAGTGATGTGGAGAGCTCTGAAAGAGTCTGTTTTTAACTGGTGTCTCTGTCCTTTCACTTAGGTGGCTGAGATCACGGGTGTTGTGGAAACCGCCAAGGTCTACCAGCTTGGTGGCACCAGAACAAACAAAGGGCTACAGCTACGGTAGGGGAGGTGCGGCGGCGGCAGCCTCAGCACAGGCACTGCCTGTTGGAGCTGTTGTTCTCTCCCAGTGTGACGTTTCTTGTTACAGTAAATTTCTGTTGTGCCCAGTGGGGACTTAGAGGGGAAACTTATATTCTGCCTTTGCCCGTAGGGAAAGGTAGGGTGTCTCCCTCTCACAGGGGAGATCCGGGACAAGACGTGGTGGGACATAGAGAAGGAAAATGTCAAGCTCCCCTCATCCCAGAGCCCTGCAGGCATTTCCTTGGTGACCGTGGTCAGGAGGCTTGCTTCTATTTCTGGCTGTCACTAACCTCATCATCTGACAGGTCAAGCCACCTTTCAGGACTTCGTTTCTCTTCAGTAACATATTTACTGAGTGCTTGCTATCCGCCACTGTTCTGGGCATCAGGATAGAGGCAGAAACAAAGTAGAAACATGAAAATCCCTGCCCTCTTAGAGCCTGAAAATTCTAGGCTCTAATATTTCCTATATGAAAAGGAATAGAAGTAGTTTGCCAGGATCACTGAAAATAACAGATAATAGACCCAGCTGTAGCATGGCCTAATTTGGTCTCTGTGGTCTCCATTCTCTTCTCCTGGCACTGTCATCTTTCTTGGTCTTCTTGAAAAGGGCCAGTTGGGGGGCACCTGAGCAGCTCAGTCGGTTAAGTATCGGACTTCAGCTGAGGTCATGATCTTAGAGTTTGTGAGTTCGAGCCCCGTGTCGGTCTCTGTGCTGTCAGCTCAGAGCCTGGTGCCTACTTCAGATTCTGTGTCTCCCTCTCTCTCTGCCACTCCCCCACTCTCACTCTGTCTCTCTCTCTCTCAAAAAAAAAATAAGTAAACATTAAAAAAAAATTTTTTTTAAAGCAGTTTCTTTCTAAGGAATGGAATTTCCTTGTCATTCAAATATCTACATAGTATTTCATATTCTCGCTGCCAGTTGATTGTAACATTTTAAAAAAAACAAGTCGTTTTGTTGTTGTTTTTTTTTTCCAGTGGTAGCTGTGATTCTTTATCCTGGCTGCCCATTAAACAGCCTGGGAGGTATTGTTTGTTTAATTTCATTGCCTGGTTCCTACTCCCAGAGATTCTGATTCAGTTGAGCTAGAGTGATGCTTTGGCATTAGAGTTTTTAGGTCTTCCTAGATGATTAGATGATTGGAATTTCTAGATCTTCCTAGATGATTCTAAAGGGCAGATAGGATTGAGAACCACAGAGATAGGTGGTTCACAGTCTGGTAGGGTTGTTTTGCTGGTACTGCAGTTAACATACCCATTCTTGGAGATGCTTTCTCTTTTTTATGTAGGCATGGCAATGACCAACGAGTGTTCCGCCTAGAGTTTGTCTCAAACCAGGAATTCACTGAAAGTGAATTCATGAAGTGGAAAGAGGCGGTAAGTGGATAGATAGCACCTACCAATTGTTCATGAAGACCCTGAGAAAGTCTCTAAAATCCCTTAATAAGCTTTTATCGTGTTTTGGTCTAGATGTTCTCTGCTGGCATGCAGTTGCCCACTCTAGATGAAATCAATAAGAAGGAATTGTCTATTAAAGAAGCTCTTAATTATAAATTCAATGATCAGGACATTGAAGAGGTAAGAAACCTGGTACCCCAGAGATTGGAGGTTCAGTAAGAACCAGTGTTAGAGAAGATCATGACTTTCTTTTCTTTCCCTATATCTTGATATGTTTAACTCTGCATAAGGATTGCATAAGGATGAGAGAATATTGATATTACTACTTTATTTATAATTCATTAAGATTTTCTCTATACGCTCTCATTTGAAATCCTAGAGTAAAGACGTGTATTTAGAGTTCAAGGATCTGTATTCTGCTAGGCTTGGTCCTTCATGAGTTTCCTTTCTCCAAAACATTTTGGTAAAATTCTTTGATCTCTGTTCTCTTGGACAGTGGCTAGCCTTACAGTACCAGGTCCCTGGGCTGCTGCTGTTTATTGGTGCATGTTCCTTCAGACTGTCCCAGAAGAATCTCCGTGACCCTGGAAGCAGCATAGTATCCCTTGGAATGAACTCGCTTTCTCTCTCTGGGGCATGACACTGCTGTAGGAAGAGCAGCCCCCTCTTAACTAGCTGCTTGCCTCCAAAATGGGCTCATTTAGCCTGTCTACAAAACTAGTTTAGGAATACCTCACTGCTGGTATCTCCTCTCTGGTACAGATTGTAAAAGAGAAAGAAAGGTTCAGGAAAGCTCCACCCAACTATGCTATGAAGAAGACTCAGCTGCTAAAGGAAAAGGTGAGGACTTGCATTTGAACCTCTTTCCTTATCCTGAAAGGTGTAGAAATCAGACTTGTTCATCCTCTGCTAAGTTAGTGGTGGCAGGATTGGGGGGAAATGCTGGGCTCCAGCATAAGCAACACAGGGCTTTCCAGGCAGTGAGGCAGCATCCCTTGGCCATTTTCCTTTCTATAAATTGAAATTGATTGTGTCTGTTCTGTTCCCCTTACTTTCTAGAAAGTCCCTTTAGTTTCGTGTGTAATAAGACAGAACCCAGGGTAATATCAGCACTGGGTCTGAACAAATGATACTGCCAAACCCAGCTGAGGTGGGTGGCTTTCCATTCTTCACATCACGATGGGGTGAGCCTTGTTAGGGTGAGTCAGCCCCATGGGGCCTGGGTTCCAAGGTTAATGTTAGATATTGCTGCAACCGGGGGCCCAGAGCCAGATAGCTATATGACAAGGTGTTACTACTGTAATAAGAATTATACCTTGCATTTGTAAAGTTTGTTTTCAGCGTTCTTTCATATCTCCTGTCATTTGTTCACTGCGTGAGATGTCTTGCCTGTGCTGAAAGTAAGGGGATACTTGTTACAGAGCCAGTCATAGCCAAAAACTCACACTTCTCTCTTGTGCAGGCCATGGCTGAGGATCTGGGGGATCAGGACAAGGCCAAACAAATCCAAGACCAGCTGAATGAGCTAGAGGAACGGGCAGAGGCCCTGGACCGCCAGCGGACCAAGAACATATCTGCCATCAGGTGTGTTACAGATCTGTTTTGGTTGGGCTCCTATCCCGGACCCACAGACCTTGCCACAGTTATCAGGTGAGCCCGTGGCCTTGCACATGCTGTGCTTGCACTGGCTGGATGAGGCTCCGGGGTCAGGGGTCAGGGCTCAGTGGTTCCCTCCCTCCTTCCCCAACCGACTGACTCACCCTTTTACTCACCCACAGTTACATCAACCAGCGGAACCGGGAGTGGAACATCGTAGAGTCTGAGAAGGCCCTTGTGGTGAGTAAACAACTTTATTTGGATCACTGAAGACCATTTTAATTAATAAAATGATAAGAAATCTTCTATACATCTTGCTCCAGTTAATTTTTTTAATTATTGAAGTAGCATGTACTCTTCACATCCACGTGTTTGTGTGCACACATAGACCCATAAGACGTATTGATTTATAGTGAAAAGCAGCAGTCTTCTGCCCTTCTTATCCCTCCCCATCCCATAGATTCTGCTCCACAGGTGTTCGTCTTTCTCGGTTTCCAGTTTTGTTCTTTTGTTGTTGCTCGCATATCTGGTCTGGTGTTCTTGAAGAGAAGAGGATGATACATGACTTTGACTCTTTTAAGCTCTTGCAAAGACTGTTACGTATGTGTAAGCTAGGATAAGTGAAGGCGGGGAAAGAGACGCAGTTCTGTAACGCATGCTCTCTGTTTCAGGCTGAAAGTCACAACATGAAAAACCAACAGATGGATCCCTTTACCAGGCGGCAGTGCAAACCTACCATCGTTTCTAATGTGAGTGCCTAAAGAGGACGTTTTTAGTCAGGACCTAGATTCTAGGACATAAAATGAATTCCATTAGGAGATTAATAAGGAAGTTAAAAATAATGTTGTCTTAGTGGGATTTGCTTGCCTCAAACTCTTAGGTCTGGCTATCTCTCTTTTTTTTTTTTTTTTTTTTATCTTGCTATAGGACATATAGGTAGTGAAAACCTGGCATGGATTTGTAGAAACGTCTGGACTAACCCCTCCTTTGGCAGGGTGGGTTTACCAATGTGGCAGACGTTAGGAATGTGTGGGCTGGGCCACCTGGGGCCAGGCTGGCCTGGGCTGGGCTTCAAAGCTTTTAATTGCCTCTTTTTTGCTGCCTTGAGGAAAACCCCACTGAGCTGCTGATGGGTCCACTGTGGTGCTTGTGATGTTAGTGGTGGTCGGTGGGTAGGACTGTGTGAGCGTTAAATCTCTAAAATAACTTGATTTTCTCTCTCAGTCCAGAGACCCGGCTGTTCAAGCTGCCATATTGGCCCAGCTGAATGCAAAATACGGTTCTGGAGTGTTACCAGATGCTCCAAAGGAAATGAGCAAGGCAAGTGCAGCACTGTCCTGTGGCCTAGATGCTTGGCTTCTTTGGGGCCTGATCTCTCCCACCTGGAGGAACATAGCCTTTCACTTGCAGCCCTTTCCCCGTCCTGATTGTTTACAAATGTAATAAACAGCTACTGAATTTTAGCCAGACAACCTAAGTGCTAAACCCAACACCACTACTTAACTAAAGCCTTGATTACAGCTTTAGGCAACTGACATCTAGCCCTCTGAGCCACATTTTCTCCTATGTAAAATGGGGATAATACTCTATATCCTGCTGCTCCGCAGGGTACTAGGAGGAACTGATGACACATAAGCATCAGACCGTTGTAAAGGTGAAAGCTCTTTGAAAACTGAATGTCAGGGGCACCTGGATGGCTCAGTTGGTTAAGCGTCCAAGTCTTGGTTTCGGCTCAGATCATAATGTAATGGTTCATGAGTTCAAGCCCTGAGTTGGGCTCCAGGCTCATAGTGTGGAGCCTGCTTGGGATTCTTTCTCTCCCTCTCTCTCTCTGCCCCTCTCACACTGGCTCACTCTCTCAAAATAAATAAACTTTAAAGAAATTTT